TTTTTTTTGTGCAATTAGCGCAAATTAGCACATATCTTTAAATGTAAGATTACAAAAGCAAAAACAAAATCTTTGAAAAACAAACAAAAGATACAAATGCAAAAAGAGGAAAATAGAACATATGCAAAAAATTACAAAAAACATAAATTGGGAATAAACACGCAAAATTTTCCAAAGTTTGTTGTACATTACCGCAGCTGATACAATATGAACGCTTGACAGAGACATCAACACATTTGCCACAAATCGGTTTCTGGCATCCCTCACAGCTGACAACAGTCTTGTTTTGTCCCTTGCAACTTTAAAATGCACATTTCTTTCCTTTAAGTGTCCGTATTTGAGTAATTGGGGGGGGGCATTTGTTGTGTATTGCACCAACTCGTAGTTCTTCCATGAGTGCAAGAATAAATTCTCGACGGGAAATAGAGGTGCCCAAGGATTCTTTGAATATAATCCAAGCATTGAGTTCAGCAATGTCAAGGACGTTGTAAAAAACATGTACAGGCCACCTGCGACTTCCATTACTTGTACTATATTTCCTCAGCATCTGATCTGCGACATCAATGCCACATTTTGTACTGTTGTAGTAAGTGACAGTGTTCGGATTTTTCTTTATGCTGTCGTCAACAAACACATTACTGTGCATCGTGCTCAGAATCACGACATTCTTTTTGCTCTTGCACCTATATATTGGGAGCGTTTTGTCTCCATTTTTCAGTGCAAAAGATGAATATCGTGCCGAACAAGTGTCACCAGCAATGGAAGTAATTCTCGCTTATTCAGAAGCATCGTCCCCACATTTGTGGTTTATTTCGCAGAAAGTTCATCTGCAAGTTTCACAGAAGTAAAAAAAATTGTCAGTTGTGACATTGAGTCCGGAGTTTAGATGTGGTTGCAGTAATTTGAGAACTACACTTTCCCCAAGTTGTAAATTAGTTAGTCGTTCTTCATCCTTGCCCAGATAAGGATAACCATTCAAAACATATTTGGATTTTACATCACTTGCTAGCCAGAATTTGATGCCAAACTTGTCCGGTTTATTCGCCATATACTGAATAAATCTACATCTTGATTTACAAGGCAACAATTGTTCATCAACGGTTATTTCTGGTCCAGGATTATAGCATAAATAACAGTTTTCTATTAGCTTGTACCAGGTTACAGAAGCGAGAGCAAATTTGTTAGTGGCGAGACGATCAGCTCTTGTGCTTCGGACATCGAATCTGAGATACCGCATTATTTCACGGAACTGATTTGCGTGACATTGTTTCTTTGAACACAGGTAGTCCTCAATCCTTGTTCCACAAATCATCTGCACAAAGTTTTGAATGGCCTAGTGCTCCTAGTGTCGTTTTTCTTATGAGGATCAAAATGACCCCAGTTGGCTGTTTTAGGTATATCTGCAATTATTTGTTTAAATAATTAACGTAGAAATATGAAAAATTGGCATAGTATACTTGGAAACATTTAGAAAAATAAAAAAATCAGCTTCGAAGCTCAGCTGTATGTAAAAAAAACGCGTAAAATTAAAAAAGGTCAAAATCCCCGGCTTCTAGTGTTAAATAAATGTTTGTCATGTATATAGAAGACGTCATTTTATTCTTCATAGGTTATGGGCCCAGATAGCGCTTAACTGTGCAGTCAAACTACCATTGTTAAATTCTTTCGGCAAGCCAAGCTGCGTCGACTGAAATGAAAATGGCGACGACTAATACAGTGTCAATTGAAAAGCTAAACAAGGACAACTTTGACACGTGGAAGTTGCAAATGGAAGCAATACTGATTAAAAATGATCATTGGGACTATGTAACTGGGAAAATTCCGAAACCAGAACCTGGTGATGAAGAATTTGCTAAATGGAAAACTACTGACCAAAAAGCACGAGCGGATATAATCCTATCCATCTTACCCAGTGAACTTCCACAAGTAAAGAATTGTGTAACATCTCACGAACTGTGGAGTAAATTGCATTCTATTTACGAATCGAAGGGACCAGCTAGAAAGGCCACAATTCTAAAAAAATTGCTTTTTACAAAAATGAGTGATTCTAAACAAATGACTGTTCATCTAAATGATTTTTTCATTCTTGTGGACAAACTGAAAGAAATGGAAATAAACATTGCGGATGATTTGCTTACAATATTGCTTTTATATAGCATACCGGACTCTTATGAAAGCTTTCGAATAGCCATCGAATCTCGTGATGAACTGCCTTCTCCAGAAATGCTGAAAATTAAACTGTTGGAAGAAGCTAACGCTCGCAAAAATAAAGATTCATCGTTTTCTGAACCACAACATGCGTTCTATTCAAAAGATCGGAAGTATACTCAACGACCGGTTCCTAAACCGAAACCAGATAAGTCTGCAAACCGAAGACAGTATCCAGTTAACTACAGATGCAACTTCTGCCATATCTATGGGCATAGAGCATCGGAATGTAGGAAGAAAAGTAAAGAAACTAAAAGCAAACGCCTCAGTGAAACTGCGATGTCTGCAGAATTCCTTGGAGCAAGAAAAAGCCGTAGCATGCACTAATAGTAATTCTAAAGACATTTTTTGTCTGGATAGTGGTGCAACATCGCATATGTGTAACAGCAAGGAACTGTTTCAAGAAATTCACGAGGTAGGTGATACTTATGTTAAATTAGCTGCTGATAAAATAGTTAAAGCTATTGGAAAAGGAACTGTTAAATTTAAAGTTCGCATAGGTTCTAAAACTGAAAATATCAAACTCAAAAATGTATTGTGTGTACCTGATTTGAAAAATAATTTAATCTCAGTGTCTAAAGTAACTGAAAATAATCTTTCAGTAATTTTCAAAGAAAAATGTGCTCAAATAATTAATTCTAATAACGAAACAGTAATTTTAGCTAAACGCGAAAATGATCTTTATTTTGTCATGCCAATATTTGAATCTGTATCAATTGCTAAAGAAATAGATCAGTGGCATATAAGATTTGGCCATTTAAATGAAAATGATCTTAAAAAACTTCAAATAAATAACATGGTTAGAGGTCTTTCTTTTTCTCAAAATGACTCTCTTTCTACTTGTAAGGTATGCATTCAGGGTAAACAAACCGCAACCCCTTCCCAAAGAATCTGAATAGAAAGTACTGAATTGTTGAATCTAATTCATTCTGATTTGTGTGGTCCCATGAGAACCGAATCAATAGGTGGATCATTTTATTTTTCAACATTTATCGATGATAAATCTCGACATGTTCGTGTTAATTTTCTGAAATCTAAGGATGAGGTTAAAAAAGCTTTCAGAAATTTTAAAGCATCTTTTGAAAATAAACTTAACTCTAAAATCAGAATCCTGCGAATCGATAACGAGCTAGAATATTTAGGGAACGACTTTAATAAATTTCTTAATGATGCGGGAATAAAACACGAAATGAGCACTCCTTACACGCCAGCCCAGAATGGCGTCGCCGAAAGATTAAATCGCACTTCGCACTTTAGTTTCAATGGCGCGATGTTTGTTATTGCAATCCAATCTGCCTCAGAAATTCTGGGCCGAAGCCGTCAATACGGCTGCTTACATTCGAAATCGCTGCCCAACGCGAGGTTTAAAAAACGAAATGAAGACACATTACGAAATGATGTTTGGCAGAGTACCAGCTGTCTCTCACTTCAGAACCTTTGGCCAAAAAGCATTTTCGCCAAATAAAAGGCCAGGAATAGGCAAATTTGATATTCGATCTAAAGAATGTATTTTTATTGGCTATTCTGATGAATCAAAAGCGTATAGACTTTGGGATCCCGAGGCTAGTAAAGTGATAATAAGCAGAGATGTAAAATTTATTAATGAGTTTGAAAACTGCTGCAGTTATGACTCAGAGCAAGAAATAAATCTGCCTTTCGCTCCGGAGGAAAGAATTATGAACAAAACATGTTGTGAAAAATCATCACATCTGGACGGTAGCGAGTCGCCACTTGACTCTGAATCTGAAAAGAAAAGTGGAAGTGATTTAGACAGCGAACCAATGCTTCCTATCCTGATTAAAAGGGAGCCTGGTCGACCCAAGAAAATAAAAACAGGTTTGCCAGGAAGGCCTAAAAAGGAATATCACTGTACAGTTGTAAATAAAAATGAACAAACTCAAAATGTTGTTGAGGAAAGGATTAATCCTACGGTGCAAGAAGCATTAAATGAACCATATGCTGAAAATTGGCATAATGCCACGCTGTTAGAATATAACTCGCTTGTTCAAGAAAAGGCTTGGAAATTAGTAGAAAGAACAAGAAAGTTATTGGTAGTAAATGGGTTCTTAAATTAAAATATAATCACGACGGCACTATCGAAAAATACAAAGCTAGGCTAGTTGCTAAAGGGTGCGCTCAAATCCCTGGTCTAGATTTCACTGAAAACTTTCCCCCTGTTGCTAGATTAAGTTCCATAAGAACAGTTTTAGTCTACGCTGTAAAACACGATCTCAAAGGTTACCAGTTAGATTTTGTAACGGCCTATGTAAATGGAAATTTAGATGAAGAAATCTACATGGAAATTCCCGAAGGTTTTCGCGATAAAACTAATTCAGATGAAGTATGTCTTTTAAAGAGATCATTATACGGTCTTTAAACAGTCAGGACGTCAGTGGTACAAAAAGTTGGATGAAAAGTTAAAATCTATGAAATTTAAATCTCTTAATTCATATAATTGTGTTTATATTAAAAAGACGCCTAAAAGTGAAACTATTATAATTGTTTGTGTAGACGATCTTATCGTTTTCACCGATTCTCCGCAAACGTATGAAACAATTCGCGATAGTTTAGCTTCTGCTTTCAAAATGAAAGACTTGGGGAAATAACATTATCGCTTAGGAATAGAATTTTACCAAAATGAGAATTCAATTAAAATTTCTCAAAAGAAATACGTTGATGATATTTTAAATCGGTATAATATGCAAAATGCTAAATCCGTGTCTTCACCTATAGATAGCAGCAAAAAATTATCAAAAGAGATGAGTCCTAAAAACGAAAACGAAATCGCTGACATGAAAAATGTTCCATTTATAAATCTGATCGGATTGCTAATGTACCTTTCAGTAGCTACTAGGCCAGATATCACATACGATGTGAATTTCTCAAGTCAATTTAACAATCCTGGAAAAGAACATTGGCATGCTGCGAAAAGAATAATTCGATATCTAAAGGGAACACAAGATCAAGGACTAATTTATACGAAAACAGGAAAACCACTCATCGCCTTTGTGGATGCAGATTGGACGTCAAATGTCAATGATAGAAAATCATACACCGGTTTTGTTTATATATTAAGTGGTTCAGCCATAACTTGGGAATCACGAAAACAACGCAGTGTAGCTCTATCTTCAACGGAGGCGGAATACTCGTATATGGCTTTGTCTGAGGCCGCCAAAGAAACCGTCTACCTACGTCGTTTCCTGAAGGAGCTGAGTTACAACATAGAACACCCAACAACAATATACTGCGACAATCAAGGAGCTCAGAAAATTACGAAGAACTCAGTGTTTCACTCCCGTACAAAGCACATAGACATTCGCCATCATTTTGTGCGTGAAGTATATGAACGCGGTGAATTAGATGTGCAGTACATACCTACCGGGAGCTGATGTGTTAACCAAACCCCTGACTCCCGTTAAACATCAAAACTGTTGTAAAATTATAGGATTGAATACTGTTTAATATGTATTTTGTTTTACTTTTCAGGAATAGGAGAACTGTTCAACGTCTTTATAGTTTAAATAAATGTTTGTCGTGTATATAGAAGTCATTTTATTCTTCAGTTTTTAAGCCCGTTTCTCATACTGAAGATGATAGATTTTTTACAAGAAAAATAGTACTTACATATAAAGTTACTTTATATGCATGCTTAGTTTACTTTTAAACTTATGTCTAAAAATCGCTGTTTCCAGACACATATTTTTATGTTTTCTTAAACGAAAGTTAATATGAGACCGACTGTTGAAATACGTAATCTTTCTTATAAAATTATATATTAGTCTTTCGTGTGGTGTGCTAGCATGTTTGTGAACATCTTCTTTCTTGCATTTAATGATAGCGTAGTCTTTGCTACATTTTTATAAAACTGATGTTGTTAGTTTTCGAAACTCGGTTTATCAGAAATAGTCTGCTATATACGGGTTGCCATCTCCTTATTTTTCTTTAATTCTATAGTTACGAAATACGCCTCTAAAATTTCTAAAACAACAGTGCAATGCAGTTGGCATTACAGGTTGACGGTAAGGCCAGTGAAGCCCAAGTTATCGTTCCATAAGAAGTATGGTTACTTAAGCCGTGATATCCGTAACCGTGATGTGCATTTCGTGACGTGTAGCGCAGCAACGCTATTAAGGCTGAAATAAAGCAACATACGAAAGAGAAACCCTTTTTCAAACCTGAAAAAACGCTAAGAGAATGTCACGACAACACGAAACTTTATCAAAATAGTCAAAACAATACAAGCATTTTAGTCAGTATAGTTTAAAATATTTGCAATGTTGACGGAGGATGCAGGAGTTTCGTATGGTACTGTTTATGCAATTGTAACCGGAAAGTTGGGTTAAGCGTAAACTGATTAAGTGGTGAATGCCTCAAGACCTCACTCCCGATCAAAAATAAGATAGAATAAAGGTGTGCGGAGACATTATCGACAAGGTGCATAGTGATCCACCTTTGCTGAACTGATTGTTATTGGCGATTAGTCGTGGTATTGGATGTATGACTCCGAATCGCAAAGGAACATGAAAGTGCACAGAGTTACCGAAATGCAGAAATGTTAGGTTCGAGAAATGGCCTTTCAATACAGTGCTGAGTTTCTTTCCTTAGGCCGAAGGTATATCATTCATAAAAAACACCATACAGGTGGCACGGCTTTGAATGCGACCACCTACGTGAATATCTTGTATTGCCTCCTGAAAAGCACCAGAAGGAAGCACCTTCAATGTGCTGAAAATAGATCCTAGTGTCTGTCGCACGATAACGCATGCCCCCCATACTGCTATAACCACGTAAGCAGTGTAGAGGAGTTATTGTAATCACCAGATTTGGTCTCTGCTAATTATTTCCTTTCCCTTCGCTTGAAGAAACAACGGAGGAGGACAACGGTTTCTGGACATGGCAGATATGCAACGTACTGTAAACGCTGAACTGAACTGCAGGCTGCCCTCACCCAAAGTATGCAATACCTCTACATCCAGTCTCAGAAGGGCGATTATTATGAAGGGCAATAAAATCTATTTCAGCATAAGTGTATGCAGAAATGTATCATTAAGTCAATATGTATCATAACGTCAATCATTCACAGCATTAATTAATCGCAGGTTGCACATTAAATAAAAAAAATTTTAATCTATTTTATTTTTTTAAAAATGATCACGAATGAAGTTCGTGATTTTCAATTTATGCAGCATTAACAGCACTACAGATGTCATAAGGTTATTTAGATTCTATCCATACTCTATCAAGGAGATCGGGGTGAAGCTTGTATCTGATCATGTGATTCTCTCCTTTAGGTGGTAGAGTTTTTTTTTTTTTCAAATGGTAGACTGTAAACAATTACAAATGTAAGCAGTCCATTAATGTATACAAGGCCGGAGGCACCTAATAGGTGGACCACCATCGCCTTTCCTATTAAGGAATGGACAGTTTCTCCGGGATTCGAACCTCAGCCCGAGATTCGAACCTCGGCATCGCAGTCAGCTTTCCTGACCATTATACCGACTGGGCGGCTTTAGGTGGTAGAGATTGTTAGTTCTTTCACTGCAAACTTCAGCTTTGACAAATTGCATAATGCTGCTGAGATAGGATCGTAATTATTCATTATTGCATCGAACGACTTACATATGATGTTAATTTTTGTTATCTGTGTATATACACAGCTGACTATTAAAATTGCATCACCTGGAAAGAATGATTTAACGAATGTTAAAATCACATGAAAGGAAGAAGAGGTTGGGATATGCAAATGATTAGTAGACGACGCTGGAAGGACAAACGACATCTGGAGATCTCCATAAAAGAAAAGTTATGTAATAGATTTCTCATTCAGAAAGCGCTTTGTAAAGTCGGACGTTGATCAGAAAATCGCGTTAAATTTCGAATAATAAGAAGAAATGCTTACCAGCAATTGTCGGAATGCGATAGATGAAGGATCGTTGCCTATCGAGAATGTGGATTATCGTTCCGTGATTCGCGGGTTGCACTGATCAACATCCAGCCTCTGTCATAAAAATATAGAAGCAATGGGTTGCTGAGGGTTATACTGAATGGCATACAGGATATTAACGCCCTCCTATGAATAACTCCCGAGAGAACAGACATATTGTGAGGTCAGCCCTTAAAAATGTTAAACCACATCACGGACCGTTAGTCAGGAAATGGGCATGTTTGCACCATGCCTAGTATCCACTCGTACGGATCGTACTCGTACGTCGACTTTTGCAGCCGTGTTGACTATCAAAACGACGACCATTACTTCAACTTCCGTTGACATTGCAGCATAGAGAGACAGCGACTCAGATGCGCTGAATGACAAAGCTGGGTACAGGAATGGCCCAATGACGCCTTTTCAAACGATACCCGGTTCTATGTGCAGTATTCTGATGGCCGTTTACGTGTCTGGAGTGTCCGACGAGACCGCACGTTGCCTGCTTGCATTCCATATCGGCATAGGGACCCTGCACCTGGTGTGATGGTTTGGACAGCCATTGCGTACACGAGACGCACATCACTAGTTCGGATCGCCGGTTGTTTGAACGCAGATGGGAATACTTCTGACATCTTATGTCCAGTGGTTGTGCCCTATGTTCGAGGCTCCCAAACGCCATGTTCAAACAAGATAATACAAGACCATACGTTGGACGTCCTGTTCTGAACTTTTTTGATACACAGGGTATTCGACTGCTGCTCTGGCCTGCACAGTCTCTAGAGCCACTGAAAAAACGTATGGTCATTTATTGTTGAGAGACTAGCCCGCCACCCCTCTCTAGCTAATACGGTTGATGAAGTATGGCATATACTTGAAGCAGCATGGAATGAATTACTTATTTCTGTCATCTAAGCGCAGCTTGACTCTGCCTAATGGGGTAAGTGCAGTTTTAGCTGCCAGAGGTAGCAGCTGTTTCTACTAATTTTGCACCCCTGTGAACTTCCGAAATGCTTTTAAATTTAATCATTTCGTCTTCATGCCATACTGTTTACGTGCAATAAATACTTTTTGGTATTTGCTTTCTTTCATGGACTTGCAATTTTAATGGCCAGCAGTGTAGATATAAATAACTATGTGGAGTTCTGTTTACTTTTACTAATAGTTATTTTATTTTGTGATCCTTTCCTGAATTCTCTTATTTTTCTCCGTGTTTCCTTGCCAGGGTGTAAATGAAATAGGATATTTAAACTTTAAACTTTTGGGGAGAAGAAGTTAGACAAGGTGTGATTTCGCTGTTGTGAGAGCATTTTTTTAGTTTCTTCCACCTGTTAATAGCGGCTTCGCATTCTTGCCATCGAGTTAGTGTCCTGCCGGTGTAGGTTTCTGAGTCAACCTGTTAGTTTAAATACAATTGTGTAGTTTCGCGCTACTCTTAACATTTAAGTGCATCGATACGTTAACTTTTAAGCTCTCACCGCAAGTCGTCAGTGTTTATTGTACGCATGTGAATTCGTGTCATCTGTTAAATATTTTGTGATCAATTAAAGGGACTTTTGTACTCTTTTCCTGGTTCTTCTTCAATCCTGGGCGACAATTCGCAAGGTGCAACACTTAAGTAGATTTATTTACATTTTTTAATAGCTAAGAGTGGTAGATCCTGTAACTACATCCCTTACGAATGACGACAAACACGGTTAATTCAGGAAAACCTGTCTGTTAATTACGGACTGAAATGGATTTTTAAGGATTACGAGTAATTTCAATTAGTGAGCGTTTATCATTCATTAGAGTCTCATTTACCCAAATTAACGCATGAACATAATCCTTTTGAGAGAGAGAATTAAATAAAAACACTTTCTATTCATTTCAGGTGATACGTGTCTCACACACACTTCATGAAACTCAATCATTCATTTTCGTATAACTGGTGAGCGAAACGAATGAATGAACAAAAAGTGCGCTTTGAATTTTCGCGATAATAATCACTAAAACAAAAAAGAGACTAAGTTTCTTCTAGAATCATTCGTATTATTCTCACATAGTAGACTCTGTTGCTAGTATGAAACAAATATATTTTAGATTTAAATGGATGAAATTTATTAAATTTTATATGATGTAATTTTATAATAGTTATTGCTGAAGCATATGGAAAAATGCTTCAAAAATTTATTTCTCTGTTTTGGTTTGGTGTATTTTAAAAGTAAGTCTAAAGTTTCGTTATGTCACTTCCGGTGAATTAATTTGCGGTGATGAATGCTAAATATCTCTAGCAACCTATATTTAATAAGATATATTTCACAAAATATACAGTGTCATTAGCTACAACTGAAATAATACGTGATCCCTGTCTTGTTGAGCTCAAACCACCGGATAGCTTTAGAATAAGATTCAGACAGTTTTAGACCTTGGGCAATGATCCATTCGTGGCCCGAATTTTCATGTTAGTATGGGAAAGCAGAGAAT